TGAAAATTCTTTCTTAGGTACCAAATAAAAGAGGGCTAAAGTGAAAATTTAAATTTTCATTGGCATTGCTAGTTAAACTGGCAATCAGAAGAACAAAATTCTTCCAAAAGGTAAACATAACGAAATCTTTCAGAAACTCAATGACGGATTGCACAACTGGAATAAAACATCCTTTGAAAGCATTTCTATATCAATCTGGATTACACATCAGCAGGTGGACCCTGACGCGGATATTGGAGCGGGGAGCGGTGCACGTATGGCAATGCCCGGAGTGCTATGGTATTGTTCCCAGGATCACGTAATCAAGTAATCAAAGATAACAAATCCGAAATATATCATCCTTTGAAAGCATTACTTTTACAATATGGATTACACAAGTGGAATGAAAACATCCTTTGAAAGCATTACCTTTTCAATGTGGATTACACATCCGAACTATAATATCATCCTTGGCAAACATTACCTTTTCAATCTGTTTGGAAGTCATGAGATGGTCACTGCTGCTGGCCTTGACCACGTCTTTGTAGGAGAGATCCGACTTGCGCTTCTTATCCAGGGCCCCAGACAAACGTAGCCACATCTGGCCACGAATGGAGTGGGGGATGCCCTGCCTCACCATGCCTCTCAGCTTCTCTGATCGGGGCAATCTAGCTTCAACCTAATTAAGAAAGAAAGGAGAGTGAACACAAAGAAAAGACCAATTTTGTTCCTCACTACAAAAATATTCAGTTACGGGCGTGCCATTGATTTTTAACAATATTATACAGAGCTAAACATGATTTTACAAATTTACAAATCAGACGATATAAAGTGAAGATGGTTTATTTTCCCCTTGTTATCCATAGAAACCTGATACCCATGCAGGTTCATCATAAAAATGTCTTCATCATATGATAATTAATAATAAATCACTCCTTCTAGAGCAATACAAAAGCATCCAACTTGTTCACAAACCCACCCTAAAAAAAAACCCAACCTCCTGTTACTTAAGCCCATTACTTTATCTTGGCCTCATTTCTATACAAACTTGGCTTTTCCATTCAGATAGCATCACCATGAGTGGTGAAATGCCTCTGTTAAAAAAGCAGGGAAAAACTGTGTATCTCTTTTCCTTAAGTATACCGTTATTTTTTTTTAAATTGCAAAAAACTCATTCATTAAAGAAAAGAACAGGATGTTACGAAACAACCTTCATGAAGGAGACAATTACTAGATCAATTCAATTGAGTATACTTGGGTGCTTACACTCTTCCTCAACAACAACGGTCGAAATTGTCCAAGACAGCAACCCACTGCTAAGGAAACAAGCAGTTGTCGTAGATATGTGGATGCCTTTGACAGTATTATAATATTTTAATAAGCAGAAGAGTGGAAGTGGGAAGTCGTCTTTTGTACTGGTGACTGTCTTGGACAGGTGGCCGTCAGAATTGGTCCAACAGTGTACCGACGGTATCTTACCTTATCCCACGTGAGGTCGCCCACTTCATTGTTGTGGGTAAACTCTAAGTAAGCCGTCCATTTGAGTCTGTGCTGTGCGTCTTCTATAAAAGGTGTGCTGAGAAGTTTGCTGGAATTTTCTTCAGGTCCATCTACAATGAGAAAAACAGAAAATAATTTGATTAAATAAATAATCGATCACACAAAAAATGGTAAGTACAAAAAAATTTATTCCGTCAAAAAAACATTTTTTGGCATTATTCTTGTACTAAACGATTTTGGACATGATTTACAATTTCATTCTCCTCTCTGCAGTTGGTTGCTTTCAACACTTCATTACTATAACCCTTCTTTCTCGACCTAAATAAGATATTCAAAACAAAACTAAATTTTTTTTAACGCAATCAGAAAACTCGAACATCCCATCATTCATCTGCACACATGGAGAATATTAAAAAATATGAGTACATAAATTTTGAAAGCTAAATATAGATCTTGTCCAATCCATTCGATGCTTTGATTTAGGCACCTTGTGGATATAATTAATAATAAAAGTCAAAATTTGAACCCCTACGGACCAAAGTCAAGAGGCTGTTAAAAACTGAAAGGAAAATCAGAAATAGCAGAATGATCCAAATCCATGACCTTTACTAGAAACTAGTAACCTACTCACAATCCACTCTGCAAGCTGAAATGCAATGAACGTTATAATAAAAACTGTATTATATTCTTTTTTTTAAATGATAAAAACATCTCTCGTTCTAGAACAATATATATTCAACAACTAAAAGTTAAAGCTTCACCTGCTCTTGCAAAGCAGACCATTACAAAAATCATAAAAAACATTTTATTTCTCATGTGCGATATCCACAATACAGTTTCATCCAATTCAACTATATCTCTCTCTCTTTCTTCTGGCGCTGTGGCGTCATAAACGGTCAGCGATGCCGACAGCACGCAGGAACTCAACACTTGCCCGGGGGTCCTTAAAAAGTGCTGAAAGTGGGTTACTGAAATATCCCAGCAATTCAACTACAGATCAAATTAGCATAATTTATCATTTTCAGCTAATGCTGGAGAAAATTTTTTTAAAAAAAGACTGGCACCGATGTTTGATGGAGCAACAACCAAGAACTGTATCTAGTTCATTACCTTCTTCTTCAACCTTGAAGCCAAACTCATCATACCGATAATCTAACTGTCCATTTGGGTCCTCTGGCTGTGGAAAAACAAAAGAATTGCATTAAAGAACAGTACATAAACTAATCTATGGCCATCAACATAAAAACATCAACATAACAAAAAAAAATCTTCAAAGCTCTTTATCCAAAGTTGAGAGTAATAATAATAATTTAGTAGTGATCGACATTGCAGTAATTAAAATTAGTACCTTTTAGCTGAGACTAAAATATGAAGTTTAACTGAATATTTTTTAAACAATGTAACTAACGTCTTTTCACAGGATCTAAAAGTTCTGTCTTTGTGCCTTTAATTTTTTTAAGTACAGGAGGTCTCAACAGTCTACACAGCACTGTGTACTGGACCGTTAGAATACTAGATTATACTGACTGCTAAGTGCAACCACCGTTAATGAAAGAACAATAAAAGACAGTCACACAGAAAAATACACAAACTGACCGTGGGTGGTCCTTATAAAAGGTAAAATCAATTTTTTAAAATCTAAATGGAGATGAAAAACTTTCTAAACATCCTGCTTCAAGAGACAGAGCTAATTTCTATAAATGAAGCTTTTCATTAAATTACACGGAATCCGCCACTTGACTTACAGGATGATTGATCTTTGCCATGATATCCTGGGGCCACATGGATGGGGTGAGGGCGGAGAACGGACCGCCGGGGGTGGGGGTGAAGTCGGAGTTGCTGTTGAAGCTGGGGGTGACTGTGATGCTGATGCCCTCGCCAGTGGCCGAGCCAATGATGTCTTCTTCCTCATCTTCTGACAGTGTTTCCACTGAAATTAAAATGTAAAGAAATGGGTTTGTGTGTGAACATAAATGCCATTGCTAGATATACTAATAAGAATAATAACATATTGTGCCTTATTAAAATTTACAATAAAAATGCATTTTCATGACAGACCAGACCTTTTGAATAAATCCAAATGGATATAATTTTTTTTTAAATGATAAAACTTGTGTGCTTCACACATTTTACAGAGTTGGCAAATTCCAAAGAGTGTGCCTCCAATGGCAGAGCCACATCTGCATTGAGGCTACTTTATGATTTTGAGAAAAATACTAAAAGCACTGGCTCCACCAAGTCCTATAATATGAATTGACACATATATGCATGCGCATCAAAACACTAATAAATGCCACCAACAGCAACTGAACGGTGACAAAAGTGCCATCTCCACGACTAAGACTAATTATAGGCGGACAGAGGGCTTGCTCCATCAAATGTAATGACATCAGACAATAGCTTCTCTATCTCTGCTATTACTATGGAATACCAAATACAACAGCTAGAATTCCATATCTAGATCTAGATCTATGCTAAGGCCAATGTTATTGTAGTTATGGTTATGTCGTGACCACGGCAAAGCAGGCTAGCATGGGCAAGAGGCTGCGCTGTGCAGTCTGCTATTCTTTTCTCGTGAGTGAGTGTCATGTCAACAAATAGTTTCCAAGCCTTCTCTACACGTATGCTAGATCATTTCCTACACATAAGAAGTACGAAACAGAAGTACTGCTACAGATTTTAAGAAATGATTTCACTGCTTCCTTTGTAAAACTGTTGATAGAGGTGGGCAAAATTACGTAGGAGGTCTAACTAAATCTCTGCATTGGACTTGCCAATTTTCATGACCACGGACCACGGCAGATATCGCCGAAGGAAATACCACCACCAGAACTAGCAAAGAAATCTTACCATTAGTAACCTTACTACTGTAACCTTCAGTAGAATGGTCACCAAACACAGCCTTTGCGATATCCATTTCTGACGATACTGGCCTCAACAATAACACCAATAATAAATTACTCTCCTATGCGTTCGTGTCCATTATTGTTTTCATTTCTCATTAGTTATGTGGCTGATCAATGAATACCAGGGGACAAACACGGTAGTGGGAAAGTAAAGTCAGCCAAAGTACTAGGAACCTCGGCATATTACTGAAATCTTACATTATCTGTACACTTTGATATTAGATATTTCTCTTTAAAAATTCAGAACAAAAATAAAACTGTAACTGTGTAATAAATAAGTCAATATTTCAGATGATTACTGGTTTGAAACAACACATCAGTTGGTCAAACCAAAACCAAGTGAACGGTCTATCTGGCATAGCTTAGCACGTCTATCTATACGCCAGAGGCGCTGTGTCAAAAACTGCCACCCACCCAGCTGAAATGAACCGAATAAACAAAAATCTCACGTCCTTGGTGTCTTGTTTTCATGGGGATTATTTTCATCGATCGTGCTTTGAATGAGTATTTGAAAAATCAAAGACGAGGTACATAGGGTGAAGGGGGTGGGGTAGGGGATTATGATAAATTTAATTAATGTTCTCGTCACTTTTCGGCAGGCTCAAATTGGAAGGTCGGCTGCAATGAAAAGGATTGTAGTTTGATTTATTTAAACTTTAAACTTATCGTTGGGAAGGTGGAGAAAAAAATAATTGGGTTTTAGTTTTTGCTGTTCTTTTTTCGGGGGCGGGGTAGGGGGGTA